GGTACATATATCCATTTACATAAAGGTAAACGTACAAAGAATCAAAGTGCTAGAAGTGATTTGAGCGTTTGGTACCAAAAGTATTTTTGATGTTGAAATTGTACTTAAAATCGTCAAATTGTAATATAGTACTTTTTAAAATTAATTGTACTGAAAAAAGTACAATCGTACTTAAAATATCAACACTGATTTTCACCCCAAAGCTTTTCTGGAACTCTTCAACTCTTCGAAGTGGAGAACACGGTAACAGATCGCTGGGTACCAGACCACTGCGGTATCAAGAGACTGTGGCAGAGCTGGCGAGTGAATGCTTATTTTATTTTCTCATAGAATCGAAGTGAGTTCGTGGACTCTGTTTGTTTATATTTTTCGAATATAATGACTTCGAAGTGGCTTAACGCAGAAGGAAACTGTGGAGACAGAATACACAGGACTTCACTGATTTGGGGGCGACAAATGGTAAAGCAGTTTTTTATCGATTTTTTTTTATGCTGATTACGAATGCGTAAGTGAAAAGTTTTCATCAGCTCCAAATTTTGAGAAGAACGAGGTCAAATTGTCAAAAAATCGCTTTTTTGCTATATTTAAGAACTTCTAACAAAGAAACAAGATTAGATAGAACTTTTCACTTAGACTTAAATTAAAGCTAGAGCTCTCGGTTACTATCTCTAAAAATACCATAACTGCACCTTGACCTTATTATGGTCACTTATAGTCATTTATTTGTCCTACAATATCAAAAGTCTTTCGAATTACCTTGCCATCTCTCTTTTGTTTGCCTTACGGAAGACTTTTTGCTATCTTAGCAGGAATTGCCTTATTAGTCTTTCGAAAGCCAGTAAAAAGCTTTCAAGATAGTTGCCAGCATTGAAAATTGTCTTATGAAAGATTCTTGTCTTTGCAAAGTCTGCGGTGAGTTGAAAGACAGTTGCCAGAATTCCCCTGTTAACTTTAATTTTGATTTTTAAATCATTGTTCACTAAATTTTTTTCCGTTCATTAATAGTTCAATTAAACATACGAAAAAAATAAAATTGTTATACTCTTTTAGGTCCAGACAGCCGATTAAGAATTATAAAATAGTTGCAACTTTTCGAGTTAGACTAAAATTTTGATGTCTGTCGTAGACATTTGAATGAAATTTATAACAAAGGGTGAATGAAATAAAAAATCTTCACTTGACTTTAAAAGTATGTACTTTCTGCCTGTTCTTCTTGTTGATATTAGGAAATTAGTAAGTTTCCTATCGTATGAGTTACACATAATTTTTGCGAATCTGCAATCTTGAGTTCTTTTCCAAAGCCTATGCGCTTGGCGGCACATGAGCACATTTTGTACAGTCCGCGACGGTGATCGAATTTGTTTCATATGAAAGTAGAGCTTTAATGGCCGCCAGAATGTCTATGGAAATGTTTATTTGCTCGCTTATCGGGTTAATTTCTTGCAGTATCTCTGCCGCTTCTTTTGTTATAAAGACCTTGGCTTGGGAGATATTGCAGTGATCTGGTAGCCTAAAGGACCAATGAATTTCCAGTTCTGTGCAATATACTGCAGGCCCGCCTCCTTCGTCCATTTTAGAACCGTATGTGAAGATATGCGTTGCGTTCCCTTTCCACTCCACGCCCTTATGTCAACCGTCAACTACTATTGTAGCTTCTAGTAACCTTTCGAAACCCAGTCGCGGTATCAGGTAGTCTATTCGACCGGTTAAGGATGGCGCTATACTACTATGACCATACGTTCTGAATCCAAGCTGCCGTGCGGGATAAAGCCTCGCGGCAGATGTAAACGCCAAGATCTTGGCTACCAAATCTGGCTGGTGGCATATGTACGATTTCATGGAGCGCCGCCGTCGGTGTTGTCCTCAAGGCACCCGTTATACTGATCATTTAGAGCCTGTTAACACTGTCCCGTCTTTTAAAGTCTATCTGCTTTTCCTTTGCTGTTCGCCACACCAGTGCTCCATAAAATAGTATTGACTTAAAGATTTCCAAGAATATCCAGTGCGAAAGAGCGGGAGAAAGTCCCCAAGTGCAGTCATACATCCTGTTAAATGTATACAGTTCTGCCGAGGACTTCCTCAGCCGCTCCTCCGCTTTAACCCTCCACGACATTTTGCTGTCCAGTACGATTCCAAGCTACTTCGTGGTTCGCTTTGATGGAGGAGTGGTGCGATCTTGTATTTCCTAGGGAATAATACTAGGGCAGTCTTCGCTGCGTTAACGCTCACACCCTGGGGTCCCAGTGAGCTCAGATATATTAGACATTTACTGCTTATGATAACTTAGCATGGCTGGTCCTCCTTCTATGTTTCTCCGTAATTTATTTCCCACAAACGTCCATAGACGTTGTGATAGCACCCTCCCTGTTGTGTGGCTCTATACACGTCTCGCATGCGCTCAGATGTTTCTACAGCCTAACATGTTGCTTATCCAAGCCCTAAGTGTAGGATGTATCCCTATCGAGGTGATCCCTTCTATTAGAGCTTGTTTCGAGACGTTATTAAACGCTCCCGCTATGTCAAGGAATACTACTAAAACAAATTCTCCATTGTTAGTGGCTTCTTCTATCCGTCCAACAACATTGCGGAGAGCTACTTATGTCGTCTGATTTGCCTTTAGTGTAAGCGTGCTGAGCTTTCGAGGGTTGTCTCTTATCTAAATGTCCTTTGATGTGCATGTGTGTATATCTATTAGCCGTTCCAGGGTTTTCAGTAGAAACTGAACACACATCATTTCTGACCACCCGAAAAAATTTCAAACAATAACATTTACATACAAACATGGTTATGATAATCTTTATTTAATAAAAGAAACATAAAAGAATAAAAAAAACACGATGAAAGAAAAAAGGCATAAATCAATACAGTACACATATGTACATATCTACATATTTACGTAAATACTTATGGGTATTAGTTTTTTATGATTTCTTGCTAAAATGTTGTTCTTGCCAAAGCTAGTGATGACGCGTTGAAACTACAAACCGCAACTGTCCAGCGCAAATTTCGTAGTTGATAGCAACTAATGGAATCCAAGCCAATTTTTTTTTAACTTTATTTTCTATTTTTTATTTGTCATTAAGTTCTTTTTTTGTCGGAACTAAGTAAGTATGTACACAAAACCACGCGTGCAGAAATCACCACTCAGTCTATTTTAGTATACTTTTTTCCTTAATAACAATGCAGATTATTAGTCGAATTTTAATTTACCGGGATTTTTTGGATTTTTTTTAGAACAAGATATTAGCTAGTACGGCATTGCGTACTGCTTAAAATTAGCATAAGAACCAGTACCGGTAAAGTCATTCGTCTGCTTATTCTGCAAAATTAAACAAAAGGCGGCGAAATGCATATAAATATGCCGGCGAGCAGTAGTAAGGTATTAGTTTGAATCGCTTGATTGAGTGAAGTGCAGACAACAGGGATCTACATATATCAAAATGGTTAGTGTGAAGTGTCAAGTGTATACTATTTGAGCATAACTTCTAAAGGGCGGCTTTTGAAAAATAACCTTGCTGAGATTTTAATTAAATAAATAAATGCGAATAAATATAAGCAGTGCTAAAATTTCTTTTCGAAAATTTAAGGAACGAAAAAGAAATTTAAGTGCTCTTAAAGGAAATTTCGGTCCTCCAAATTCCTTTCTTTCTAATACAAATCTTTCTTTTTTCTCATTTCCTACAGAAATTCTTTGCCGCCATCGTATTTGCCGTCTTTGCCTGCGTTGCTGCCGATGTCAGCCACCTGAGCAATACTTACCTGCCGCCATCGCAAGGCGCTGCTAGCTCAGTTTCTTCAGAATACCTACCTCCAGCGGCCAGCACACAACATGCTTCTTACTCGGCGCCAAGCTACTCGGTAGCTGCTTCGGCACCAAGTGTCTCCTATTCTGCGCCAGCTCCTGCCGTGTCCTACTCAGCGCCAAGCTACTCGGCCGCTGCTTCAGCACCAAGTGTGTCTTACTCGGCTCCAGCTCGCTCCGTCTCTTACTCTGCGCCAGCTGCTTCTGCGTCTTACTCAGCACCAAGCTACTCGGCCGCTGCTTCAGCCCCAAGTGTGTCTTACTCGGCTCCAGCTCGCTCCGTCTCTTACTCTGCGCCAGCTGCTTCTGCGTCTTACTCAGCACCAAGCTACTCGGCCGCTGCGTCAGCTCCAAGTGTGTCTTACTCGGCTCCAGCTCGCTCTGTGTCATACTCAGCTCCAGCTCCAGCTGCTTCCTACTC